GGCAGGTGGACGTACACGCTAATCAGCAATATAGAAAAATGGGCAAACAGGAAACATGGCGACTTGGACCACTTCCTCACGCAAGTTCTTACGAACCATGGATGTTTTAACGCCTACCTACATAGGATGAAAAAATCGGAAACTCCGAAATGCTCCTGGTGTGAGGCTGACACCGACGATGCCAATCACACACTGTTCGTGTGTGACGCATTCGAAAACTGGCGAAGGGTGCTCGTTGGAGAGATAGGCCACGATCTAACAGCGGCCAACATCGTGGACACCATGTTAGAGTGCAGGAGTCAAAGGAATTTGATTGTATACTACATCAATAAAGTGATGAGGCATAAATGCGATGCCGAAAGACAACAACAGTTATCGACGAGGAATACTCAACAAACAACTTAAAACGGGAAGTAAACGGAAAAACGGCAGCCGATAGGTGGCCCGGCGGCCTATACAAGGCGGGGCGAAGGAAAACAGGAAGCGCTTGGCGGCCTCTTCAAGGCGGAGCGGAAGAAAAGCGGAGGCAAGAATATTATAATTACTATAACTAGTATTCAGTTAATTTAGGGGAAATAAACCAGTGTCACTAAGCTACAATTCTGTCAACGATGAATAATTTTTTTGGGGGGTTTCAAATTTTGACAGTAGTAATAGATTTAATATCTACAAATTTAATGTATAATTTTAAAATATCAAAAAGTAATCATTTTTTTGAAAAATTCACTGTGTATTATAATAAGTTTTCTAAAGCTATGTTTTATAAAATAATGTTACGTACAAAATAATATGTCTTAACACACAGCTAAATTTAAAAATAATACCATACAATATTTTAGGGCACGTTGTTTATCAAAAACAAGTGTTTTATTAGCGTAGTTTGTATTTTTGTTTGTATAGTATGTATGGTTTGTATGGATACATATTCAAATGTTTGAACTATTTTTTATTATGACCGTAGAACCCTGATGTTCTAAGAGCTAATGCGAACAACTTCTTTGTATATTAAAACAAAATAGTATGTGATTAAATCGTCCTAATTTAAACATGTATAATTATTACTTAATATTACATTTAATAAATGTACAGCAATAATATTTTCTTAACTGCCATAAATTAAAGAATAAAGACGAATTCAATTAATATATTAGAGATATGAACACAATAACAAAAAATTGTCAACTAGAATACAAGACAGTGATGAAAAAATACTTGTGTAATCCTAACAGTTATTTGTCTTTCGTCTACATTACCAACCGTTTACAAACGATCAAAAGTCGTTGGGTTTTGAATAAATACTATAGACCTGTGACATCTACGTACCCACCATGCTTTGATCCATTATGCATTGACCCCACTGTACTGACTTACTTGGATATAATTACTTTTAAAAAACCCCTTTGATGCTAATTTTTAAACACTACACTTCACTTTAATACTTTCTTACTGTGCTTGGTTCGGACTTTACTGGTTTGAAAATACTAACTACATCGAAGCGTTTATTTGAAAGTGATGTTATCACTTACAGTTATAATAATTCTTGTTAACCTGAGACTTCCCCGTTCCTACTATACGCCGACGCCACTGTGCCCCAACTCCACTATGCCCCGACCACACTGTACTGGCTTTTTCGTGTTTCAACTCTAATATCGAAAATCGTACTTGAATGGAATTTTTTTTTTATATAATAATTAATAACCTTTAATGAATAATATAATGGCTCAACAAGAAGGTACTTTAATTGGCCAATAATAAAAAAATTCATCCCTTCCCCTAAAAAAAACACAAAATATGTACATATTTCTCAACTTATAGAAAACAATATTTTACCAGACTCACAATTTGGCTTTCGCCCCTCCCAAAACACAATCCATCAAGTTCATAGACTTATTGATGCCATTTCATTCTCTCTTGAGCAAAAATTATACTGCACGTGCGCTTTCCTAGATACAAGTCACCATTCAATAGGGTATGGTATGAAGGCGTATTATACTAACTAAAAAAATTTCTTTCTCCGTCATTCTAGCCTTGCAATTAAAGAGTCGTAATAAATAAAAAGATTTTTAAAATAGTAATTCCTCATTCCTTTGGTATGCCTGCACACGTCAGTTGTACCAAATTTAAATTATAACCATTTTCCACCCCCCTAGGGGGTTAGAGGTGACACGGCCTGCAAGTGCATGTTTCCGTTATTAGCGATTAAATGTGCGCCCGGTCGTGTTATCAACTGTCCACCGTCTCACCGCAGGTGGGAACGATAAACTACTATATCGGCCTGAGCCGGCCGTCGGTGTATGAAGAGGTCCGGGGGGTGTCATCTTTACAGCGAAACACGGCGGCGATGACCACTGTAGGCAATCCGATAATCAGTTATTGATTTAACATTGGTCCGGTTTGCCATCCGCCGCCGTCCCGCGTATTCACGTTTTACCACGTTTCTTTTCTAAGTTAAAAAAATTAAAAAAAAACCTTAACTCTTTTAAAATTCGGTTTTTTTTTCGCTTCTATTTACTTCTACCCCCCATTTCTACCGCGTCAGAGGTTAGGGGGTACAATTATTTTTTAGTTTCTTAGCCGTATTTTTAGGACCTTTAAATTGAAAATTTGTCAGTAGTTAGAACTCATATGTATCCATAATATATTAAACGGAAAAGGTTTATTAGGCACCGTATATTTCAATTCATAAATACATAAAAATATTTCAAATATTTAATTATTATAATATATCATAATTTCAAATATTGTTTAAGGTTGTGATTCATCAATATAGGAATTGAAACTTGATGTCATAGAGTCTTCTACGCTATCATGTTCGTCAACAAACTATAGCATTTCCAAGAATTCCACAAAGTTTACGTTTTTAATAATAGGTTCTGCCGACTGTTCCATTGATTTTGAAATAGGGTTTAAGTATGCCTTGTTGTCGGCATACTCCTTAGGAGACAGTTCACCGTCTTTACTATCGTCAAACTCATTGAAGTCGTTTCTGGCATACATGACCTCGCTTGGACTTATCAATTATGCTAGCATTTTTTTTTTGACATTTTCATGTCTTAGCTCTGGCACATATCCAAAAAAATTATAACGAAAAAAGCGTTATCAAAAAAAGCGTTAACACACGGGGATGGGGTTGGGGACGGGAGATAGGGGGTAGGAGATAGGGGTGAGAATTAGCCGGTACATAACCGAAAAAAAGTGCTACCAAAAAAAGGGTTACGGTGTTATCTGATATGAGATAAGATAAGATATGTTGTACGTTCAACGATCAAAATAGAAATGAATAATAAATTCAAAATAGTTTAATTCTCTATGTTAAGTTACTTTTGGCCAAATAATAAACACTACAATTTTAGCCAGAAACTTGATTGTACATAATTTTTTAATCTCCTTGGCTTATGTTGTAAGTGGAAGCTCCATGTAAATTTTTTTTTTAATTATAATTCCACAACTAATCTAAATTTATTCGGTACTTCAACGAGACATGAAAATGCTCTTTCGTGGTTGCAGACTCAGCTGAAAAACTTTTTTTTAGTTATAGGAAGAACATGAGGAAGGTGTCGCGTAAAAAATTTGCATTACCGCATATAAGCATTTTAGGAAAAATACAAATGTGCATAAAAGTATCAAGTATATTCATCATAAAATATATTTTATAATTTTATAGAATAAATCAGTATAGCTATATCAGATCTTTTGGTTTCGCTTTTATACAATGTGTAATAAAAGCATGATATTTTTTTTTTAAATCGATAAAATCTTATTTAGATAAGCTTCTCATTTGTTTAGTTTAATATGAAAACATGTTATTATTTGTTAAAAAATGTCTGCATATGTACTACAGCTTGATAATGGATTGCAATTCCTGACGCCTCATTTAAAAATAATTATAACATTAGATATATTATAACATGATTTAAAATATATATATTCGGTGTTAAATAAAACATGTTTATTTGTTAGTATCCTACCAAGAAGAATTCGTAAAGTATGTTTAGTTTGATTGGTATTGCTTTTATAAAATGTATACTAGTAATATAATATATGTTGAGTTTTTTTTTTTAAGTAGACATTGTTCGTATGACATGCATAACAATACAACACGACAACAAAACTACTGAGAGTATAGATAAAATGACAAAATAAAATAAATAAAATAAAATTACGTAATAAAGGGATTTTTTTTTTTTTTTACAAATCTATATCCAATTTCACCAACCAGGTTTTTTTAACAATACCCATGCATTATTTTTCTACTTATTTAATAATCTATTTAATATAACTATAACATCTTCATTTTTGATTCCCCTATTTCATATATATTAACACATAGTTTACAAAGTGCGAAATAATATATATTTAAAATTCAAATAATAAATATTTTAAGATTATTGTAAGCAAATGAGACAATGTAATGCATTTATTTATAGTGTATTGACCAATAAATGTATGATACATTACAAAAATAATCTTGGCTACGGGCTACAAATCATAAACGCAGTAGTTGTTTTGCCGATTGACAAAACCAAAATATGTATTACTTGTTAACACAACCGTCTTATAATAAAATGTTAATGTACCTACAGTGTTACAACTACTACTTTTGAGGCATCAAAACTAATAGTTTTTAACGGTTAAATACAGTTGTTTCTTTTTGAATTTGAGCATTGATTTGATTTGATTTGATATTTGTGTCCTCGTTTTCAATGTATCAAGTATTTTTTGATCGATGTAATATAAATAAACACATATTCAGATTAGACTATAACTCCAGTCTAATTTTCAGCTCTTAAATTTTGAAAGAGTAACCTAACCTAACCTTTCTCGATTTTGACACTACTCTCAACTCTACAGATACAATCAAATGTTATATATATTTATTTATTATCAAAAACTAAGACGGAGCAGATAAGGTTAATTTATAATTTTAATATGCTGAAAACTAGTTATTTAACATTTTTATAAATTTATAATATTTAAAAATACAATTTTCAAATCACCCAAATAGTACAGTATTCAATTAACACAAAAAAACACACACCCTCTAAATTTTTAAAAAATTAATACATAAACCTTGAATTTTTATTTAAATAAACTTGAATAATTTAAAAAGTTTAATTTTATTATTACAGCGAACGGCGATAGAAAGTTGCAGTAAATTTGTAGCCCTATAATATTAACACAAAAAAAAATTAACAATGCGATAATATTATTATCGCAATATCGCAGATTACAATATGTGAAATTATATCAAATTTAATATCCTTCAGTTGAAGAAAAACAAAAAATGTGTAAGAGTGAACATATTACTTGCTTGGGGGTTGCAAATGTTTAAATCCTCAACTGGTCGGTGTTGTAGCGTATAGATAAACTTTTAAAAACCATTAATGTATAAAACTCGTTCCATGACATATCAGTTTCTAGAAATCAATTAAAAAGTATTCACATTAAAATTTATCAAACTATACAATGCTGTAACGAATCGAGTGGTTGCAATTATTATTATTGCGTTTTTATGTACAAAGTTTGGCCATGACGGGTGTTATAAAAAGCCATCTTAAATCAATAATTTAGTTTTTCAATAATTTAAAATCATGTCGAAAAAAATTTCATGAGCAATGTTATAAAATTAATATTTTAATGTTAAATAAAATCAGTCCAACAGTCATAAAATTGTTTTGTAACATATTTCGTCGAAAAAGAAGATAAAAGCGTTTTACATTTCTAAAACTTGTTCTTTCTACGTACCTTTCAATGCTGTTGTCAGTTCGTTTTCAACCAGCTTTAGTTTCTCCCGTAAATACTCTTTAACTGCGCTCTTGGTAACTGGACGGTTTTTGACGATTCCGTTATAAATATCTTGGAGATCCTAAAATCATAAAATTGTTTTTAAAATTAGGGGAACATATTTTGTTACGGGCCAAGGAACCCCAGACGACCTCCAGCTCTTACTGGCGGAAAGCTCTAAACGAGCGAATTCAGTAAGTACGTTTTGTAACGATCATATTTCACTTGACCGTTACTTCGCGTCCCAAACCAACTGACACAGCACCCCCGCTTATAGGTAGGGGAACGGTCGCACACACAGGACAATGCACGTCACGTATCATCTAATTAACCAGTTGACTTTACCATCACGGACCGCCAATATCCTCGACCTTGCGCTCTATATTTTTGCCGTTTTACTACAAGCCGCCCATCCGACTATCTTTTGTGTGCGTCCGTTTCAACTCCGCTTTGACCAACCATTTCATCGTCCAACCCAGGTCAGAGTGTATATATATATATATATATTGTATAATTTTGTATTTTATTTAGAAACCCTAATTTAGAATAAAACATCTTGTAGCCTGCAGCTGAGAGTTAGATTATTTAACAGTGTGACCGCCCGTTCTAGCTCCTCGGGCGATATATTAAGTTAATAAGGGAGACTTTAAGGCCAATTAGACGTAGACAACGGCCTAGCCAACCGTTTTCCCGTGGGGATCCGTCTATTTTAGCTTTATCGACGGCCACTTTGCCTAGTCTAGCCAGCTAGACAAGTAGGTCCGTTACAACTTGGTGGAGGCGCCGATTGCCGTTAGTTTTATTTTTTATCTTGGGGGAGAACCCATTTTGCAAGTGAATAAACTACGGCCACGACCCCATAAAACTGCATTGATTAATTTATTCGCTCTCAGTTTGTGTTAAGGTGTTTTATTTTACGGTACAAATTGCTCTGGAATTTTAAAGGATATTTTATTTAACTTAAATTGCATTATTTTTATTCAATTAAAAATTAATTATGAATATCACTCCGCAATGCTTTTCCGGTCAATTGACCGAAGATATTAATGATTATCTAGAAACTTACGATAGGATATCGGCTGCGAACGACTGGAGTGAGGCGCAAAGGCTAATAAGGTTTCCGCTATATTTAAGAGAACAAGCGAAAAAGTTGTATAAAAGAATAGAATCTAAAAGCGCAGATTTAAAATGGGCAGATTTGAAAAAGGAATTTTTAGAGTATTATAATTCAGAGGAGCAACGTTGCACACTTGAGAGTTAAGTTATTTAGAGGTACGATCGCCTGTTAAGCTCCTCAGGCGATATAGCAAATATACAAAGGAGACTTTAGGGATATTTAAGTGTAGATACGGCCTAGCCATCCGTCCCGTCTTAGGGTCCACTAATTTAACCCTATCGACTGTCGTTTCAGCCTAGCCTAGCCAACTAGCCACGCAGACACGTTACAATTAAGTCCGTTAAGTTGTAACGGACCTACTTGTCTAGCTGGCTAGACTAGGCAAAGTGGCCGTCGATAAAGCTAAAATAGACGGATCCCCACGGGAAACGGTTGGCTAGGCCGTTGTCTACGTCTAATTGGCCTTAAAGTCTCCCTTATTAACTTAATATATCGCCCGAGGAGCTCTAATTCTCATTAGATACATATGGAACTCTAGTAAAATAGGGCTTTTGACTGTTAAAACTACTACAAGTAGACCTATTATTATTGTTACTGGCATAATTAAAGTTAATATTTCTGGTACCGTTATAGCGATTTTGGGTTGTCTTATAATTCCTATTGAATACATCCCTAACCTTATTATTATTTATCCCATTCTTATAAGTAATATTATTGTTATTAATATTATTATTAGACTTGCGAGCACTATGCATAGAATTGTTAAAATTCGTACCGTGATTTGTCCTAGTATCCTGATAATTATTTTGGTTTGCTCTATGAGTCTTATATTTAAAGTTATCAACATGTCTTTTATAGTTGAAACACCTGGTATCACGATAATTATTTTGGCTACCCTATTACTCATATTATTTTGAGTCCTATAGATATTATAGTTATTATTTCCAATTGTGTTTATACTAAATCTATTATGTTTATTTTTCAAAAAATGTATAACCATCTCTTCGTCATTTACTCTAAGAGATAACTGCAATTTACGTAAATTGATTATACCTTCATAGATTGTTAAAAAATCCATGCCTAAAAGACTATTACCTTTCAAATTTTTTACCACTGCACATTCTATTTCAAACGGCACATTGTTAAAATACACTATAATATTTGTTTTTCCTACAAAATGTAGTTGCGAACCTATCGCAGTATATAATTTTGTTTGCCCAAATGAATTAATATATTGATTTTTTGGAAGTAAAGATTCATTAATAACGCTTACACTTGCTCCTGAGTCAATAGTGAACTTATAACCAACATTATTTAAAATACCTCTAATTACTAGGTTATTACTTAGACCATTTTTGTTATTCATAAAACAGCTACTTATATTTTCTACTAACGGGGGTGGTCTTTGACTATTATCATTAGACCATGCATTATAATTATTACCATTAGGATTCATATACCCTTGTTGATTGTATAGATTTCTATTATTAATATTACGACCATCGTCGTAACTATTAATGTTATAATTACCATTATTATGCCTATTTATGCCGTTATTAAAACTATCCTTAAAATTATTGTTGTTTCTATTAACTGTTCGAATATGATTTATTCCATAGGGGGTTTGAGTTAAAGTGGACTCTGCGATTTGTTTTGTGAGTGTCTCTACTTGAATTCTTAAGGCTTCTACCTCGGGGTTGGTTGGGGTATTAAATAAATTTCGGGCTCCTTCGGCCTTTCTTAAATTAGATTCTAATTTTTTCATAGTAGAATTGTCTTGCATACAAATCATACTAAAATACTCGGGTGGTAATTTACGCATTACTTGTGTTATTTTGGATTCTTCAGACATGTCAGGGTCAATTTCATCAGAAAGGCGGTTAAAGTCACATATAAACTCATTAACTGTTTCGTCAAGATTCAGTTTTCTTTGAGTTAATTTAACTTTAAGCATGTTTTTACGGGTTACTGTATTAAACGCTTTTTTAAATTCATCTTTAATATTGGCCCAAGTTAAATTGGTATTTCTTTTTTCAAATAAAAAATAGAAAGATTCTGCAGTGCCTTTTAAATAAAATGGAAAGTACAATAAGGTTTGTTCATCCGTCTAATTATTTAATTTTTTTATCCTATCGAATTTGGTAATGAAATCGTAGACAGATTCGTCGCTTGTACCGTGAAAAGTGTCTAGGGCAAGAGGTGATAAGTTTGCTATCATAGGGGCTGTCATATTGAATTCTTGATCGTAATATTCAATAAAATATAATAAGAATTTAAAAGAAAAATGTTAACCAAATATTATAAAATAAATTAATAAATTTCAATATTAAATGCAATTTGATACTTAATAAAAAAAAAATGTACTTTACTACAACCTGAGAGTTAATTAAAAATAGCAGGTACAATTATATGGGGTCGTGTCCGTCGTGTATTCCCTTAAAAATATTGGGGTCCCTCCCTGAGGTAAGACTAACGAATATCGGCGCCTCCACCAAATTGTAAAGTGTCTGCGTGGCTAGTTGGCTAGGCTAGGCTGAAACGACAGTCGATAGGGTTAAATTAGTGGACCCGAAGACGGGACGGATGGCTAGGCCGTATCTACACTTAAATATCCCTAAAGTCTCCTTTGTATATTTGCTATATCGCCTGAGGAGCTTAACAGGCGATCGTACCTCTAAATAACTTAACTCTCAAGTGTGCAACGAAACGAAAACAGGTTTATTAAATAAGTAAAGCTATGTACATATATATTACACCTCTACCTGGATCCTAAAGCGTTCTCTGTAGTTAGTCCAGGTAATGGCGGAGTTGAACGGACACACGAGTACGGGTAAAGTTAAAAGAAATATAAAATAGTAATGTAACGTGAAATATAGGTAATGGCTTTAGAATAATTAGGTCGCGGTCCGAAGATGGTAGTATGTCAACTAACTGGGCATCGGTGCCCCTGGCATTGTCCCGTGTGTCTGTTGTCTCCCCTACCTATAATGGCTTACATGCTAATCGGGGTAAACTGCTAATAATGCATATTTGGAGGCGAGTGGTAACGGGCGGCTAAATGTGACCGTTACAGTTTATTCCCTAATGGGGATTAAACACCTGATGGAGGGCAGCAGTAACCATCAGTACTGAAACGAGGCGGAAGAAGAACCGTCTGGTACTGCTCGTTATCAGATTATTCAGAATATTATTATCAGAATACTGCGATGAGGAAAGTAAGGGGAGACTACCACATGATACTCCCATGTCTTAAGACCAGAAAAAACATTGCCAAAAGCTACGTATGGAGTGTTTTGTTGTATAGTTGTAAAACTGGACCTTGACAGTACGAGATACAAAAAACTTGAAACAATAGAAATGTGGACCTGGAGAAGATTACTTCGTATTAGTCGGACTGAAAGAAAGAGCAATGAAGAAATTCTCCAAATAGTAGAGGAAACGAGAGTATTGCTATCCATCATTAGATGATTGGAATGGCTGGATGCAACGGGTATTCACATATGAAGACTCTAGCATTAAAGAGAGAAGAGTGGAAGTCTATATTTTCGCTATGACAAGGCTTAGTCTTTAGAAAATAAAGATCCTATATTAGGATAGAAAAAAATCATAATTACCCAAAAAGTAAATTTTGATGTTATTACTGCTATAAATTCGTTCGGTGACATTTTAGTACCTAGAAAGCATTATAAAAGTGTTCACATTAAAATTTACTAAACTACAATATGCTGTAAGGGATGGAGTTGTTGCAATTTTTGATATTGCGTTTTTATAAAGTAACGTCATTAAGGGTACTACACATTAAAATGACCTAAAAACAATAGTTTTATTTGTCCCCTTGTTTAGTTTTAAAACAATCGCGTTTAAAACAAAATTCTTGGGGAATGTCGTTAAATAAATATTTCAATATTAATTACAGATTGTGTAACTTTTACAAAACGTTTCACATTCTGACACGATTTGTAAGAAACAATATAAAAGCGTTTTATATTTTTATAGTAACTTGATCTACCCAACTACCTTTACAGACATCTTCTGCATTTTTTTTTTACCCCCCGACGCCTTTTTCATAAAAGTATAAATACCCCTTAGAAATGTTGGAAAAAACGCACTACCCAATATTCCAACATACCCAACTATCGATATTTATTTATGTATAACATCGAAGTGAATATTAGTTTTCACATTTCACACATATATTTTACAATATACATTAATTATTATTATTGTTCAACGTACTCCACACTGAACAAAGTATCTTATTGATATCGAATATAGAAATATCAAAATCTCTCATCACGTTTTGTTGTTTTATGTACTCTATTACTGTTTCCTTGGTAACATCGTTGCCTTGTTCTAAAATCTTTGTATGAAGTCTGGTTAGAATCTAAAATTATTAACATTTTTAATAAACAATGTGAATACTGTTTTTTAGAATTGATGTGTCTCGAACTTTTTACTATTATATTAATCAATAGATTTATGGAGAATTGCATTTTTTTTTAATGAATCATATAATTAGATAGAAAATATTTTAAATTACCGACGGATCTTCGCAAAGCCCAGGATTTGCTTTAGACAAATGAACAAACAAAGATAAAAACAGAATACAATTTTTAAAATTCATGATTGTCTGTTTTTTTTCAACGCCTAAGATATTCGAATACTGTTCTGCCGTTGTTTAAAACTTAAATGATTCTTATTCTTTTAAATGGCTTCTGTTGTAGCGATTTCAGTGTAAAACTTATAAGACTTGTATAAACGCATATGTATTTTGTTTGTTCAATGTAGTTTAAAATTCTATTTTGAAATAAATAATCGTGGCTATAGCCTATGAATCGTAAAAAAATAGTAGTTGTTTTGCCGCTTGACAAACACTAACAATTTAGCTATTACTTGTTTACTCATCCGTCTTTAAACTTTTTGTAGAATAAACGTATTATAGAAAAATTATTGTTTTTCAAATTACTTCCAAATTGATATTGTAATTTTAGACGTTTTATTATTTGTATTATGTTTGTTTCATATGATTACAATAGGAAACTTAACCAAGTTAGGAATCCAGGATTTTAATTCTATATTTGAAACGAATGAAGCAAGGTTCGAACATACTATCTTTGAACAATAGTTTAGTATTGTACTGGTAAAAAGATATACGAAAAGTCTCTCAGAATTTTCCATCTCAATTTACCCCAAACGAGTTTTATCATTACACCGAATTTTATATTATTTTAATAAATTTCAATTTCTGAAGATTCATTTTGACACTTTAAGAACCGTTTTCATATATGTAGTTGTATACACGATTACTCAATCACTCTTTTACTCAGTTCTAGCCTGGCAGAGATGTTATTGCGATTTCAGTGTAAAACTTAACAAAATGTATATGTACAATTCTTTCAATATATGTTGAAATTGTATATTGAATTTTGAAATTGTGGCTACAGTCTATGAATCGTATAAAAACAGTAGTGTTTTTGCCGTTTAATAAAAACAAAAATGTATCTAATACCTATTTACAAAACCGTCACATAGCAATATATTAGTACTTTTTAGCTTGTCGTGAACTAACCGTTTTATAGGAAAAATATTTGTTTTCAAATCACTCACATTGATATTATTAATTTAGACGTTTTATTATTTGTATTAGGTTTCTTTCGTATGATTAAACTGGTAAATTTACTTAAGTTTAGTTAGGAATCCTTCATTTTATTTCTACTGTTGTAAAACTTTTTTTTTTAAATGAATGACATAATATCATTGAATAATAGTGTGGTATTATATTGGTGACATCATACATTGTTATTTTAGACGTTCTATTATTTGTATTATGTTTCTTTCATATGATTACAATGGGACACTTAACCAAGTTAGGAATCCAGGATTTTAATTCTATATTTTAAACAAATGAAGCAAAGTTTCGGGTTCAAACATACTATCTTTAAACAATAGTTTAGTATTGTACTGGTAAAAAGATATACGAAAAGTCTCTCAGAATTTTCCATCTCAATTTACCTCAAACGAGTTTTTTCATTACACCGAATTTGATATTATTTTAACCCTTCACTGAATGAATTTTTTTTTAACCATATGCTATAATGTACTTAGTACTACTTAAAAAAATAAAAATAAATTTTTTTTTAGTTTTGGTTTCATGAAAAGTACTAATTAAAGAATTGTTCCAATTATGAAACATTGTGCATACAAAGATGTATAGCAAGAACAGATGTAAACAATACATACAATAGTTCCATATATGGAACATTGTGCAGTAAAGGGTTAATAGATATCAATTTCTGAAGATTCATTTTAATACTTTAAGAACCGTCTTCATGTAGTTGTGTACATGATTACTCAATCACTCTAATTATTTCAAAATTATAAGTATGAGCTTGTAAAAAAAGTAAATTTAAAACAAGTTATCGTTTAGTTATATCATTTGGGACGATATTAATCATTCGTTTCAGGAACAATATTACTATTTACTATACAACACATACGGTTTGAAATATATTTCATAGTATTCAACATTTCTGATACCCCATTTCATATATATATATATATATATATATCTTTAAAATTATCACATTATTTATAAAGTGCGAAATCAAAATATTTGAAATTCAAGTAGTATATTATATGATAAGATTATTCAAGTTTTTATTTTAGAAACAACCTTCGATAATGACAATGTTTTTTATTCTTAAAAAATAATATTTTTGATTAAGACACTTAGGTCATAAATAAACAACAACAGTTGTAAAATAACCAAAATTTTATTTCAAAAAAGGACTGTAATTTTGTATTTTGGTCGATAAGACATATTATTATTTGTTTTCAGCTGAGAACAGAAAATGTTACACAGCTAAAAATGTCATTACCTACTCATTATTTATTTTTACTAAAAATAATGTTAGTATTCCAACGATAAGTATTCGTATTGTACATTAGATAAGATAATTTGGTATCGCTTCAAACTAAAAAAATCGTATTTAGTTAACTTCATACATGTTTTGCTTAATACAAAAACATATTATTATTTGAATAATACACGTGCAAAATATTTTTCTGCTCTAGCCTGGCTGTGGTGTTATTGCGATTTTATGCATATTGTTTTTTCAGTATAGGTTGAAATTTTAAAATTAATAATCGTGGCTACAGCCTATGAATCGTAAAAACAAGTAGTTGTTTTCAAATATTATGTAGCCTTAATATTTTTTTTTGTCTTAAGCACAAAAACATGTTTTTATTATTTGAACAATTCTTATGCACGCTATTTTTTACACATTTAGATCTTTAAGAAGTCTATTCAAAATAATTATAAACTCTTCAAAATTGCTGAAAACCCATTTGCTATATTTAATCTTAAATTTTAACACATTATATATAATGTACGAAATCAATACATATAAAATTTAATTAGTATATTATATGATAGGATTATTAATTAATTAAAATTTTTATTATACAAATAACCATTTGATAATAAAAATATAGTTTTCAATTCTCGAAATAATATCTTAGATATGAACACTTCGGTCATAAATAAACAACAACAGTTATAAAATAACCAAAATGTTATTTCAAAAAAACTGTAGTTTTGAATTTTTTTAATAAGACATTTTATTTGTTTCTGGCCGAGTATCGAAAATCTTACAAAGTTAAAACATACATTTTTTATAATAGCTACAAACAATTTTGGTATCCTAATGTAAAACGAGATTCATCAATACACCAACTTTTAATTATTTTTATATATTTCAAGGGAAGTTCTAGTGATTTAGGTTTGCTTATTTTTCTGTTTATGTACTATAACATTAGATCTGTAAGAGGCATCTGTATTGGAATTTTCCATCGCAATTTACTCTAAACAAGTTTCATCCATACGTAGAATTTCAATTATATTAACAGATTTCCATTCCTAACGAGTCCTTTAAAACTTTAATAGCCATGTTTATATAATTGTACCTAAATACAATTACTCTATTATTTTATTGCTTAATTCTAGCCTTGCACTTAAAGATTCATAAAAAATAAAAAGATTTTTTATTTAGTAATTTCTCATGTGACACCTGTTAATTGGCATCAAAGTAAATGAAGGATGTCTTCGGTATGCCCGCACACGTCAGTTGTTTCAAATTTTAATTACACCCATTTTCCACCCACCTAGGGGTTAGGTTAGGGGGTACAAGTTTTTTTGTTTTTTTAGTTTTTTAACCATAATTTTAGGACCTTTAAGTAGAAAATTTACCAATAGTTAGAACTCATATGTATCCATAACATATTAAACGAAAAAGGTTTATTAGACACCGTATACTTCAATTCGTAAATCCATAAAAATATTTCAAATATTTAATTATTATTAAATATTTCGATTGACATCGAATCAAATTTTTCATTATATAATCACTCATAGTTGTATTTATTTTTGAACACTATTTACTTTCTTAACTAAGTTTAAATCAACGTAAATTCAAATCAGATGATTTTATATAACTTTTATAAAATGTGTAGGCATTCCTACAGTTTCTGTTGTTTTTCAAACCGATATATTTATACATGAGTTACCTAAATATGTTTTGCATTAAATACAAAACTGATTTTTTCCAATATTTTAACAATACCCATGCACATTATTTTTCTATTTATTTACTACACCTTTAGGTATTTAAAAGGCCCATGTCTCTAGGGAGACTTACATTTCAGCTTTAAAATAATATTGTTATTATTCATATTGAAATTTGTTTTTCATTATATTATAGAGAATATAAAACAAAAGCTACAGTAGTGCCTAGGTAAGGTTTACTTTTATAATATGAGTTGTTTAAAACTCGAAAAAATAGTTGACTGTTATGGTGGTACATTATGTTCAGGTCGCAAACTTTTACTGTAATGGAAGTATATAACATGTATTTTCTATATAATAAAATATTATTTATGTTGAGTACAAATGATTGTAGCATAAATCATTGACCATTCCAACATAATTTAACAAGTGATAAACAAATGTAACTCAGTGTTACACAAGTTTTAAAATAAAATAGTTCAGTGGTTTTTTTTTATATAGGCCAAACTGTATAGTATGCATATACTATGAGTTCAAACAGACATTTTATTTAGCATCAACAGTAAAAGATAAAGTATCTTTGTATAAAAAAAAAGCTGGTGCGGTGGGGATGGATTATATTAGGGTTGGGAGGTTACAAATCTATATGAATTAGTACAGCTGAAAGTGTTAAAATTACTTTCGAATAAACACTCCGATGCGAATCTATAATGGTATAGCACCGTCTATACTTGTATTTAAGTATCAATAAAATAATTGTACCTAAAGACAATAATGTGCTAAAAAATGTGTTTTTTTGTAATAGGGTCAATACGATTAGGGATTTGATCGTTTGTCTGTAACAATTTACTGCTATAGCTACTCATATATCGTACCTAATTAACAATATAATAGAAATATTTTCCAATACACGTTAACTGTTGATTAACATACACATTGCAACCTAATGATTGACAATGGTCAATGTGTAAATTTTTCCCCTTTTTAGGTTTTCCTTATTAAAAAGTTGAAAAAAGTTGAATAGTAAAAGACCCAATAATTGCTAACCGAAGAAACTGGTTCAGTGACCGAGTTCAAATCCCTTCTAAGCTTTTAGATTTTTACTGGT